GGTTTCTGAGACCTCTCCACGGTGATCCTCAACCACATGGTGGCACTTTGTGTCATCGGGTGTTTATCGCTTGTGTGATGTCCTAGTGGGGTAGAAAGTCAGTTAGTCAGTGCGTAATCAGTGGCCCAAGAGTCACTATATGGATGTGAATCCAACAGGGGCAAACCCCTGAACCCTGTTCCACCTATATAATTTCAACAACAAACATAGTTATAATAGAAGTTACCTATAGTTACGATGAAATATACTGTCCTTTAGGTGGAGTATCACTTGCTATCTTTGTTTCTCTTTAACCTTCCTCTTCCCTCCCCCCCTCTCTCTCTCTCTCTCTCTCTCTCTCTCTCTCTCTCTCTCTCTCTTCAAAAAACCTGTCTTTGTTTAAATTTTTAATGTCAAGAAATTATCCTATATTTTTAGTCTAATCCAAACCAATATAAGGATCTCTCCCCCAAATCCCGATAACCCAGCAGCGATGAAGTAAAAACCTTCTTGGCAATAACATTAACCTCAAGACAAAGCTGCGTCTGTACTGCTTCATCTGACCTCTGTCCTGGCATTTTTTCAGGTCTGCTGGCTATCACATTTCTGACGTATTATTTTCTTATATGAACATATATAATGTTTCGTGTAGACATCAATAAAAGGATCTACGCTTTTCCCAGACGAACTCTACATCACACTGAACTCTTTTACAACGGTAGCTGTTATGTTTTCAAAGATGGAGAAGGCTAAACGGGTGTGGCGGGGGGAGACTTCAAGTTCAGGCGTAGATTTTTTTAATCCCTTGCAGACGTGCTAGCGTATCTTTATTTCCGCAGATCTGCAGACACTGTCTGACACTGTCATGAAAGAACGCCTTTGGAGTCTGAGATGACACTTCAGGGAGCATGTCAATGGGTTATCGGCTTTCTGTCAAGCCTGTAAACGTTACTAAACTGTCATAACCGAGTTACTTCCCATTTACCCAAGTAAGTAGGTAACTTAAAGTACGCATATCACAGCACTGTCCCTCACCCTACGCTTCTAGTCGTTTTTTTCTTTGCTACCGCATACAGCTGACGCTTTTCTCTCAACATCTTCTTAACTTCACTCTCTAATTCCCTTCCACATGTTTTTAGGCCTTTATTTCTGTATCGCTGTGGGTCCCACGGTAAGGCCATTCGATTTTTATTGCCCTTGTGTTTTCTCAACAGATGCCCAATTACATGACCAAAGAACAGCGCTTGTTTTTTCCTTATAGCTGTATAAACTGATCTGCTTTCGTCAGAGTTTTTTTAAGTACTCATCGTTAGTTACTCTGGCAGTCCGAAGGATTACCATTTGTCTGAGGAACTACATCTCCGTCGCCGCCAAGTTCTTCCTAATTTGTGGATGGACTTTCCATGATTCACTATCACCCAACAGTGTAGGTTCGATATACTATTTTAGTACTCTCTTTTGGTACGTATAGTATTGTGGATTTATGTAATGTGCTGATGAATGATCTCAAGCCGCAACTCTAACTTGTCGTTGCTGTTTGTGATACTGGAAAGCTAAGTGCTTATACTTTTCGTTTGGTTTGTTTTTGTTTCATGACAATGAAAAGAGAGCCGAAGACGAAAATAAGCAAAATGAAGAGATTAATTATTTTGAACTATTTAAAGCCAAAATACTCTTATACAATCCTTACTAGCAGGAAAATTGAAGGCGAGCAAGCAAGAGGTATACAATGGTACAAGTGAGAGGATAACATCAAGTGGTGGGCGAACATCAGTCACAAGGAATAGGATAAACAGACCCTGTTGGAGATCGACTGTAGCCATTCTTCACTGCGGAGATAACACTTAAGTGAAAGACTTTAGAGGCGTTCGTTTGAATCTGCATTTACATCCATCATCATCATCGTCATCATGCTCTCTTTTCGTTACTTACTCGAGGTTTGTGGACTTTATCATCATTATCAAGTGCCTTGGCAACTGGCATGGGCGATCACGCCTCTTCACAATTGGCGATCTTTATCAGCATGAATCAGTTCGTGTGATGACACTCTTCCATGCCTCGACAGCTCTAAACAATTTTACGCTATGCCTTTCATTGTCTCTTTGTCCACGATCTGTTCAGTTGTCACATCATGTTCTAGTTTCCCTCCTCTCTTTAGATGACCAAACCCGATCATGCGTTTGCATGCACATATTTCCTAGGGCCGTACTTTCCGGTCACAATTTGTGTTGATTCTGTCTCCAATTAATGAGAACATTTTACAATGCGATCCTTGTAGAGCAACTGAGTTTTTACAGTGGCACTGATTTTGTATATCTCCCTTGAAAGCCTGCCTTGTTGCTGTTTCTTATCTTCACAACGGAAGTGACCTTCGAGGGAGATATCTCGCATACTCCTGTACTTGAAGCTGATAATTAATATTGCACTCACAAAATGAAAGGCATATACGTGTTAGCACAGTTGTAATTAAGTTAGACCAGAACCTAACATACAAGCACGTAATAGAAGTGCCATATTCCAGTCAGCAATATAATGATGAAGAACTGGTATACAAGCCAGATTTTACAGATATTACAAGAAGTTGGCCAATAACAAAGTTTCCAAAAGCCGATAAATCTGGCTATAATAAATTTGACTGTTGATATCTAACTTCAGCTTAAATGTGAGATTTTTTGTTTTTTAAACCATCAAACAAGAAACAAAGACTTGGGAATGGAATGTAACCCTTCATTGATATCAGATGTGTGGAAAGTTTATGTAGAGTACATAGATACTCTATAGTACATCGATAACTAAAGTGAAAAGACTAAAAATGCAATGGTATGGACATGTAATAAGATCTAACGGCCTCTCAAAAACATTACTGCAGGGCTCAGTGGAGGGAAGGAGGAGAAGAGGCAGACCAAGAAAGACCTGGTTACATATTCTGATTGACAGGCCTCAGGCATGCAACCATGAAGTCCATTACAACTGACCGCAAAAGGTGAAGAGAGCTGATCAGACAGTCAACAGAAACTGGTGACCCAACGACACGCAGTGTTACGGGATGATGATGATGATGATGATGATGATGATGATGATGATGATGATGATGATGACATAGACAGTTTTTGCATGCTACCTCTGGATTTACTTCTAGATTTATTTTAATTACTTGCTTTGATCAATGCACTGTGGAACACGCTGTGTGAGGTTTCTGTGCGAAGTACATAGATAACTCAGAATTCCAAGGTTGCATACAGATAACACATCTGGTCAGTTCCGATCGCATTCAAAACAAAGCTGTAGGGCACTGCCCCTTGTCATCTGGACGATAGCTTCAGTCAAGGCTACTGGCCTCTTGATATTAGTTGTTTTTTGACAGAATGGCGGTGGTGGTGGAGGAGAAGGAGGAAGAAAAAGAAGAAGATAAAGAAGAAGAAAAACGAACGAACGAACGAACGAACAAACAAACAATATTTTCAAAAAGGTAAGAATTGGGCACACAGACCCGTCTTACATTCTGCCCTTTTGGCCTTACCCCTTTCGTACATTATGCAAGAAGAAGAAGAAGATTATGATGATAATAATTATGATGAAGATGTTGAAAATGAATGCATGGTTGGTTTTTATCGCCACAAGACTTCCTAACTATTGTATTGATTTTCTCTCTAGTATTTATTCAAAGCATGTTGTCACGAACTAACATCAACGTTTCAGCACTGACACAGTCTCTCGACACTGGACTGGTGTCTGTCTGAGGGGAAATAAAACCTCTGCAAAATCATTCATGTTGATATAGTACTTTGTCTCTACGCAATCCAAATCATCCACAGATGCCTCACTTTTTCAGGGCTCAGGAGACTTGTCTCAATTCCTTGAATTTAGGGGTTGTACCTCAGTCATTTAGAGGATTTACTACTCATCCAGTAAACCATCCCATCGGTCCTCAAACCGACTAATTATCAAATTAATAATCCAATTAGTCAACCATCTGATCAATAATCCAACCAATAAAAAGTGAAATTATTAACCAAACAACTAACAAACTATCCAATCAATCATCCAACCAACTAACCATCCAATCAATCATCCGATCAACTAACCATCTAATCAATCATTCAGTCGATTAAACATCCAATCAATCATATAATCAACTGACCATTCAATCGATCATCCAATCAATCAATCAATCAATCAATCAATCAACCATTGAACTAGTCAACCACCCAATCAATCATCTAATCAATAAATCATCCAGCCATAAAATCATCACACCAATCAATCATCCAACCAATCAATCATCCAACCAATCAATCATCCAACCATTCAATCATCCAACCATTCAATCATCCAACCAATCAATCATACAACCAATCAATCATCCAACCAATCAATCATCCAACCAATCAATCATCCAACCAATCAATCATCCAACCAATCAATCATCCAACCAGTCAACCAATTAACATCTAAAAAAAAACTATTGAACCAGTCAACCATCCAATTAATCATCCAATCCACTAATCATCCAAACAATCGACCAATCATCCAACCAATTATTCAGTCATCCAACCGATCATCTGACCAAAGAACCATCTAACCGGTCAATCATACAACCAATAAAGTATCCAACCAATTAATCATCCAATCAATCAATTATCCAACAAAAATATCATCAAACCAATCAATCATCAAACTAAAAAATCATCCTAATAATTAATCTTCCAACCAATCATTGAACCAATCAATCATGTGACCAATCAATCATCTGACCAATCAATCATCTGACCAATCAATCATCTGACCAATCAGTCATCCATCCAGCCAATCAATTATCTAAGCAATCAATCATCCAGCCAGTCAACTATCAAATCATTCATCTAACCAGCTTACCGTCCAATCAGTCATCCAGCTGTCCACCCAGACAACCAGCCAGCAACGCTCAGACTGTCCATTTGTATGCCTTAATAATTTTTTAAAAAAATAATAATAATGGCTGTTTTTATATTAATGAGACTGCAGTACTAGCTAATACTTACCCAGCTTTGTCTTCTTCATCTTCGTAGATCTGTTTCAAGTTGTCTAGTGTACTTATCAGCTGTAGGTAGGATCTAACAGGAAACAAAACACATAGAACGTGACCACTCTTATACAAAATAATATCTTCACCATCAGCAGCATAAGCCATGTGGGGCAGCTCAAGCTAGCATGTTCCTCAGCAAACATTTATATACCTTACCTTACTTACGGCTACTGAAACCTGAAGTGCTTTACACATTTTGTATAGACACTCCCCTGTTAAATTTGAAATAGGCCTGTTCTCTCCACCCTTCCCCGTGTACCTCCACCCCGTCCCTCCTCCCCCCCCCCCACTATAAATAGAAGCTCTCTTTTTTTTAAAACAATTTTAATTGTAAATTTGTTATTATTGTTATTTTTCCATTTGTACAAACATGTGTGTGTGTATGTGTGTGCATATGAGTGTGTGCAAGTGTGTGTATGTGAGCGTGCGTAACCCGCACTCTTCAATGCATTTGAAACATCTACATTAAGCAGACTAACAGCAAAATATCTATTAGCAGCGGAAATACGATTTCTGATATAAATGTGAAAAATACTGTTGAATTGTTTTTGTTTTTCATTAGCAGTTTGTCCATCTGCCATCAAAATTATAATTAAATAAGTACCC